TACAAATGTACATGTAAATTTGTTATCCTTTTGTCTTAAATATAAAGTACATTTAAGGAACACACATAGAGTGCTTCCCATGGAACAAACATTCTGGTTTGAAATTTTGGAAATTCCACATTCCCGATCAACCATACATTCAGGTTGCACAGACCTGACCCGAGCCACTGTGTATTTGGTTATTGTTCTTGTTAGCAGGATACAAAAGAATGGTACTGGGAACAACAATTTTCTAATAGAAAGGGACAAGTTGATCCTGCCAACCAAAATGACTGGACGCGTCAAAGTAGACCATCTTCAAAGGTGGTCTTAAATATTCCAGTTGGACTGCACCAAAATGGTCTGTTCCATTTTATTTCTAACCAAAGTTTCTGGAATTTTGGGCTCCTAGATGGAAAGCGCCCATAGGTTATGTTATGGTCACCACCTGAGAATGTTATAGTTCTTTAATTTAAAGAGACAATTAAGCCTGTTCATCTAATGTTTCATTGTGATACAGTGTACAATGTACATTCTCTGGAAGTTGATCAATCTGTCCCATAATTGTCTTCAACTTTTAAGGTACATGTAATTGTGCCAAACAGGAGCTAAATTTTAGTTGGACATTGTCCGATGGATGTTCAGCTGCTATTTGCAGCTTTAATTTATACTACAGTTAAAGCTCTTGAAATAGATACTCCTGACAAAACCCTTTAAATAAACTTTCTGTTCAAAAAACCCATTCCAGGAGCCAGGTCTAGTTAAATACATATTCACTGCTCAGTACGCATGCAGGAATGCCGATTTGGATTTAACACTATTTACCGGAACAACTAAAGGATTCATTCCGTGGGATGCCTGTGGTTATCCCCTCTTCCAAGCCGACCAATCAGATTGTACAAAATCTGTATCGATTTTTAATCGATTTGCTTCCTCTGAAGAACGTTGAAATCAGAACGTTTCTTGCCAAATTTGTCGCGCTTGAGTTTTCCCACTCGTGGTTTAGGATGGCTTGTTAACCAGCGAAATCCTTCGGGATACTGGCAACTCACGAAAGGCGACCTAAGCCAAATTATTTCTTTCCTTCATGATCTTTTTTTGTTTAGGTCTAGCTTTTTCATAAGGTTTTAGTAGCGTCTGGTTGCGGGCCGGAGTTTATTGTTTATTGTTTATTGTTTTGTTTGCCAAAAATTGTACAAATCAATTAAAAATCTAATTACTTAAACTCTCATGGCGAGGAAGCCTAAGAGAAGCCACCGGGCTTATAAGGAATGGGCTCCCTCAGTTAGATAATTACAACAAAATATGATCATAATTACACATGGGAAAATCAATGGCAGAGCTACAGTAAATCTTAAAATAAGTATATAAGATAGTCGTACTAATCATAGTTCTAGGCTAAAAAAAAGCGAAATGACAAAAAGAAAAAAAACAAAACAAAACAAAACAAAATAAAAGAGCAAAGGAAGAAAACAAATACATATATATATATATAAATTACTATTTATGATAAGAGGAATTCTTTCAGCTTACAGCAAAAGGAAGCGGTACTTGTTGCATTTCGAATTTCAAAACTAAGAGAGTTAAAAAATTTAGGACCTTGGAAACTGATGGAGAACTTTCTTATATTAGTCCTGCATTGCGGTAAATAAAAATGCTCCGAACTTCTAGTGCCATAAGAATGCACCTGGCGTGTCACCAAAAACATGTTATTGAAGCTATAAGGAAGTAAGCCAGATCTGTATTGATACATAAATTTTCCTATTTGAAGTTTGTAGATACTCTCAAGATTCAGAATTTTTAAATTTTTAAATAAGGGGTCAGTGTGAGCATCGAAAGCACTCCTCGACATTATTCTTACGACCCGTTTTTGAAGTGTGATTAATCTTCTGAGTTTTGATGGGTAGGTCGATGCCCAGAGGCTCACGCAGTAGAATAATTATGGGTAGATAAGGCTAAAATAAAGCATCCGTAAGGAGGAATTATTAAGGCAAAAACTTGATTTATATTTTATTTGATTTATATTTTTTTGAGTTCGCCAGTTTTTGCCGAGCACAGCTAGAGTTCAGTTTTTTTCTTTTCTTATCGAAAATGCCTTGACGATGGGAGGTTAAATCGCGTAAATTTCAACTCGTACCCTTGACGATTGGCGTGGAAATCGCGAAAATATTGTCCTCGTTGATCGACTCGCTTTCGACATGGATTGGACTTCTGGATGGGACACGAATCAGGACATGAGTAAACTTATTATACCTTGGAATCAGGGATAATCATTGGAACTATGTTAACTTTGAGACCTTGGAAACACATTGCAATTAATTTTTAACCGTATCAAGAGCATCTTGGAATATAAAACTTTCATCTTGGATTAAAACATTAATTGGAACTTTACCGAACTTTGTAACCCTGCGTTCGACCCTGGATAAAGCAAGCGGATGTTTTGTTTTGTTTTGTTCCATTAACCTAGATAGAACGCCATTATGCTTCCATAGACCAATGCATCCCACGGAAACGACTTTAGGCGTCTTGTTTTTCAAAATAATCAATTCATTAATAGAATCTTAGGGGGGTATGCTTGACCTGCCTCGACTGTAAAAGTGCAATTTTCAATTATGCCTAGTGGGCTTCAGTTATGGTTTTGCTATTGATTGATTTAATGCAATTTTCCCCACCGTTTACGTTTAGGTACTTGTGTGCTTAACTATTATCTTTTTAAAATAAATTGCAGAGAATAAGCCCCATTTGTTTTTGTGGTGTCCACAACGAGACAGTTAAGCATTTTTTTGGTGAATGTACACTTTATTATGAACCTAGAACTAAAATATCTGCTCTCCTCTGCTGCTCCCATATTTGCTGACAGGTGGCCTTCTATGTTTTAGGCACAAATTATATCAGTTTCTGTGGTAGGATCACCGTTACAGTATCGGGGGCAAAACAATGTTTTGATTTTTTCATGCCCAGTGATTTTTATATCTGAATCGATGAGATTTTATAAAAGTACCTAAATATGTATTTTTCACCTGCTAGCACTACTTTAATATCCTCTTTGTTTTGCTGCCGCTTGATGAGTTTTGTTTTGTTTTGTTTTTTTTTTTTTGCTCTTAGGGCAAACTTTGTGTCCGTCAATAAAATATGTTTAAATAAATAAGTTAATTTAAAAAAAGAACATTAAAGTGCTTTATTTTAAGATCTAAATGTTGCCAAGTTGCTTGAAATTATTACCATTCAACTTGCTATATTTATGTAAGAGTTTCACAAACTCCTAAATGTACCTCCAGTGTTTGACACTTACTTCAATTCTGTTAGGAAGATACATAGCTATAAAACCAGATTATCTAGCAAAATGAATATTATGCTATTCCGAAAGCCAGAATAAAATTAGTTGTGGAATCTTCAACATAAGATTTCAGGGTGTCTTAGTCAGGAATGATATAAGTGATGGCATCAAGCTTCTTCCCCTGAAAAGTTTTAAGAAAAACCACAAACTAATTCTTTCTTTAGCCCCTATGGTAATTTGGGGCCTGTACTCTTCCCAATTTTTTGTTAATTTATTTTTATCAATCATTCTTGCATACTGTTGGGTACAAGTAAAGTTGTTGTTGTTGTTTCTACTTGCTTTAGGGTTTACTACTAAAGAGGTCCACTTGGTGCTAGCCTTTGATATTATTTTCCCTGAAAAATTTACAGGAATGCCAGATTCCTGCCCAAAGATACTTTCAATCAAGGACGCCGGGTTGTCCCACTGATACAATCTCCCTCCAATCTATACTAGGGTTGTTCAAAGTCAATTGATTACTTTATTATTGTGTACTGAACCTTTTTCAGCACCAACCGCTGCTCCAATTAACGTGCGTGGACGCAACCTGAGTTCTACCAGCATTTTGGTAGAATGGGGCGACGTACCGGAACCTGAGCGAAATGGCATTATACTCAGTTACACAGTTACTCATGAAGTACCTCCTGATGTCCCTATACGACGCCAGGTAGTGAATGCTTCAGCTAGGCAAGCGACGCTGATAGGACTCAACAAGTTTACAGAATATGAAATTGCAGTGTTTGCCAATACTTCAAAAGGAGGTGGAACTGGAAGCGAACCTATCCGGGTGAAAACGGACGAAGACAGTAAGTAGACCATTGCACAGGTTACTGCTGCAGCTTTTGTGGGGCTAGCAACAGACGCCCCTTTTATATGGTTTTTGTAATATTACCCAAATTTATATAGTCCAACCTCCACTAACGGCCACCTCCATACAACGGCCACTTTTTTTTGCGGACAGTCCATAAATTCACCCTTGTTTCAACCTCTCTAAAACGGCCACCTCTCACAGATCACTAACCATGACCTCTTGAGCCCGTTTAAGTAAAGTTCTGTATTCTAAGAGGTCCGTTAAGATGATTGACGGCACCGAAAAACCCAGACGTCAGTTGGCTTTTGAACTTCAGAGCTCGTGTGTCTTTGAAAGGCGCAGTAATTCATAATTGTGTAACCAGTGGTAGATAGTCAGCTACAATCGGCCAACCTAACAGGACTGAAGGACTTTGTTGGGTACAATATTTCAGTGGTTGCATTTACAGTGAAAAAAGATGGACCTCCCTTTGTTTTTACTGTTAGAACAGACCAAGATAGTAAGTCTTACAACACTTTTTATTATTATTATTATTATTATTATTATTATTATTATTGCTATTGCAATTAGTGTCAGCGTTTGTTTACTTTTTTGTTTGTTTTTCGGGTTAGTATAGCGACGCTCAGGCTGATGTCATGATCTCATCTATCGATGCTTGTGTGCTAACCCTAACCTTATTTGGAATACGATTAATCGAACGCACTCTTACATGTATTTCAAAGCTCTATTTCTGAATAAAATAGCAGCAGCATCGGCCATGGCAATTGTAGGGCAGCAATTGTTCAGTAAACAAAATAGAAAAAACAAATTTAAAATCCGGCAAATAATATAGTGTGCCTCCTGCTTGCTTGTTCTTTACTTCAGTACCAAGATTAACTTTATACTTTTTTATCAGAACCGGATGGAAAACCACAAAACGCTAGTGGACGTAACACCAGTTCAACCAGCATTTCAGTATCGTGGGAAGAAGTGCAAGCTGATCTACAGAATGGTATTATTACTGGTTACAATATAACGTATCAGTCACTGACAGAGAATGACAATGGATTTGTAACAGCTGGTCCTAATGATCGTCAGGCCAACCTAACAGAACTGAAGGAGTTTGTTGACTACAATATTTCAGTGGTTGCATTTACAGTGAAAGGAGATGGACCTCCCATTGTTTTTATTGTGAGAACAGACCAAGATAGTAAGTCTTACAACACTTTTTTATTATCATTATTATTGATATGGCAATCAGTGTCAGCGTTTTTTTATTTGTTTGTTTGATTCTCGGGTTAGTATAGCGACCCTCAGGCTGATGTCATGATCTCTTCTATCGATGTTTATGTGCTAACTCTAACCTTTCTTGGAATAAGATCAATCGAACGCACTCTTACATGTATTTCAAGGCTCTATTTCTGAATAAAAGAGCAGCCGCATCGGCCATTAAAGGATGCGCTTTTGCAGGGGTAGCAATTGTTCACTAACAAAATAGAAAAAAAAAAATGTAAAATTCGGCAAATATTTTAATGTGCCTCTTGCTTGCTTGTTCTTTACTTTAGTACCAAGATTAACTTTATACTTGTTTATCAGAACCTGATGGAAAACCACAAAACGTTCGTGGACGTAACACCAGTTCAACCAGCATTTCAGTATCGTGGGAAGAAGTGCAAGCTGAGTTACAGAATGGTATCATTACTGGTTACAATATAACGTATCAGTCACTAACAGAGACTGACAATGGATTTGTTACAGCTGGTCCTAATGATCGTCAGGCCAACCTAACAGGACTGAAGGAGTTTGTTGAGTACAATATTTCAGTGGTTGCATTTACAGCGAAAGGAGATGGACCTCCCTTTGTTTTTATTGTTAGAACAGACCAAGATAGTAAGTCTTACAACACTTTTTTGATTATTTTTATTACAGGGCTTCCGGAATTATGCGCGGATGCGAAATCGCATAATTTGGCTCTGAGCGCATAATAGGCCTCTTGCACTAAGAGGTCACGTGACCGATGCTTCCTTTAAACAATGAGTTGGAATCTTGCCGATACCAAAAATTGGTGGAGCGCATTAAAATTATCTTACACCCGAACTTTGAAAGGAAACGCGTTTAAGGGAGATATTTTATGGCACTTTGATTTTTCAGCAAAGTGGTAGGATTTGTATTGGACGCCATGTTGGAGGGCATACTCTTGCCCTCCAACATGGCGGCCAAAACTACTTTTTGCTTGTATCTTGTTAAACGTTTGATAGTTACGCCCAGATGTGCTGAAAACGTTACCACATCATCTTTTCAACAATTTCGTTGAAGTTTAAGTGCAAAATTTCTGCTCAGAATGAGGTAATTTGTAGTTTAAAAATCACATTTTGGTCACGTGACCAGCTACAAACTTACTCTTTTTAGGAAAATGGTGCGGGTTTGAAAAACTAAATCACTGTTATTATGGTTAACATATGAACCACTAATGGTTTTTTGAAGGCAAAATCATATAACTTTCATTTTCCTAAAAATGATGTCACATGACCTCCTAGTGCAAATGGCCTATTCGCATAGTTCCACAAAAACGCATAATGGCGCATAATTTTCAAAAAATTTGAAAAATGTATTAACATTAAAGTTATGTTTTTTCATACCTTGAGAGATGTATGGAAGTTTTTTTCCCCTAAATATAGTACATTTTCGTAACAAATAGCCACCACTTCATTGCAAAAAGCATTCACAAATATTGCAAGTCAACAAGGCATTCCAGGCGTTCCATGCTGCTATTTTTTCAGATAACACGTTGGAAGAAATATAACCAATCACATCTTAAAAAGAAAAAAGGTGCTCTGCTTCGATTTATTTGGCGGCAAAACAACTTTCTTTCCCGTGTTTTCGCATTGAAAATGGATAAGTTGTATTAAAAATAAAGCCAAAGAAAAAGCCATGTAGCATTACACCACAAGAGCGGGCTATAAGCAATATCCGGGAAGTTCCATGCAATCTCCTATTTTGTTCAACTTATAATGTTGTTGTGGATCACCACCGAAAGTCAGTTCTTGACGAGCACCTTTCAGCTGTTTCACACATCAAGCAAATGGATGAATCCTCTTCGAAGCGAGCGAAACAACAGACATTAAAGGGACAGTGTACCGATTATGCGCACCCGTGAGCGTCATCTGTTTTTTCTTCAAAAGACAATAGAACTGTCAAATTGACTCGACAAGATTTACTTCCGGACAGCACCGCCGACGGAGATTTGTTGTTTATATTCTCAGGCAATATTTGAGACTTTCGAAGAAATCTTTCGTCTTATTTAAAATTTGGCTCGCTGCACGAAGACTCATCGCGATTTTGTCGCTGGCACGGCCGCCTGGCGACCCGAAAATCTATTTCTGCTCGCTTTAAAAACAGATACTCGTGTCAGAGGTCAATTGTTCCATGTCCAGTAATATCTGCCTGATTTGCTCGCGTTCTAGCCTCAGACGTTGGAAAGACACAAATAAAAATGCAATCTCAACGCTATGAATCATCGCAAAGATTAGTCAAAAATTATATGATAATTTCATGGAACTAGTTTTTCTAAACATGTAGAGCCTGTTTGTTTGATTTTGTCGGCCGTAGGGAGATTCATTTAAAAGTTTACTAATGCGTCGTTGCAAAATATTCTGCTTTACGAAGCTCCCCTCCACAAGATCTCCTCAGTCACATCAATGTCTCAATGGTTTCTTTCTTACAGTCTTTATTGTTGCTCTTTCATTTCTGGGTATTCCTTTCACAATTATCTGAGCTTGTATGGAAGCTAGCTGAAGAAATAAGCCTTCAATCAGCATCAAAGCGCTTCCCATCTTTTGGTCCTCCGGCCAACGGCAATAAAAGTAACGCCAAAAACTCAAGATAATCCTGAGAAGTTTTAGTGTAGTATTGAACTCGGCCAAGCGCGATGCAAACGGAGTTTTCATTACTCTCCTCGCATCTTTTGATTTCGGGACATCCTGTCCAAAAATCAAAGTTTGGTGTATGCGCAGTAACGTGATACTCTTCCTTTAAAGACTTCATTCAAGTGCAAAACTCCAGCTCACGAAAAAAAGTGAAAGTCTCCCTTGAGAGGGTAAGGACGTGTGCTGCTGCAAACATACCGCTAAGCAAATAAAAAAATCCTACAATGTTTGAATTTCTTCTCTCCCGTGTAGTCAATGGTGGCGCGATCCCTAAGGGCACACAGCTTGGGGACCACTTATTAGATGTTTATTAGATGCTTCTGCTTTATTTACAAGCTTACTAAATTGAAATCTTAAAAAATTTTTGCTTAAAAATGTTGTGCAATTCGCATAAATCGCGCATAATTCAGGATTTTTGGCACATAATTCGCTAAAAATAGCGCATAATTTGCTGAAAAAAGGCATAATTCCGGAAGCCCTGTTATTATTGCTATTGGAATCAGTGTCAGCGTTTGTTTATTTCTTTGTTTGTTTTTTTCGGGTTAATTAGTATAGCGACGCTCAGGCTGATGTCATAATCTCATCTATCGATGTTTATGTGCTAACCTTAACCTTTTTTGGAAAACGATTAATCGAACGCACTCTTACATGTATTTCAAGGCTCTATTTCCGAATAAAATAGCAGCCGCATCCGCCATAAAAGGATGCGCTTTTGAAGGGGTAGCAATTGTTCAGTAAACAAAATAGAAAAAAATATAAAATCCTGCAAATATTATAATGTGCCTCTCGCTTGCTTGTTCTTTACTTTAGTACCAAGATTAACTTTATACTTGTTTATCAGAACCGGATGGAAAACCACAAAACGTTAGTGGACGTAACACCAGTTCAACCAGCATTTCAGTATCGTGGGAAGAAGTGCAAGCTGATCTACAGAATGGTATTATTACTGGTTACAATATAACGTATCAGTCACTGACAGAGAATGACAATGGATTTGTAACAGCTGGTCCTAATGATCGTCAGGCCAACCTAACAGAACTGAAAGAGTTTGTTGACTACAATATTTCAGTGGTTGCATTTACAGTGAAAGGAGATGGACCTCCCATTGTTTTTATTGTGAGAACAGACCAAGATAGTAAGTCTTACAACACTTTTTTATTATCATTATTATTGATATGGCAATCAGTGTAGCGTTTTTTTATTTGTTTGTTTGATTCTCGGGTTAGTATAGCGACCCTCAGGCTGATGTCATGATCTCTTCTATCGATGTTTATGTGCTAACTCTAACCTTTCTTGGAATAAGATCAATCGAACGCACTCTTACATGTATTTCAAGGCTCTATTTCTGAATAAAAGAGCAGCCGCATCGGCCATTAAAGGATGCGCTTTTGCAGGGGTAGCAATTGTTCACTAACAAAATAGAAAAAAAAAACAATGTAAAATTCGGCAAATATTTTAATGTGCCTCTTGCTTGCTTGTTCTTTACTTTAGTACCATGATTAACGCTATACTTGTTCATCAGAACCTGATGGAAAACCACAAAACGTTCGTGGACATAACACCAGTTCAACCAGCATTTCAGTATCGTGGGAAGAAGTGCAAGCTGAGTTACAGAATGGTGTCATTACTGGTTACAATATAACGTATCAGTCACTGACAGAGAATGACAATGGATTTGTAACAGCTGGTCCT